GGCCAACAAGCCTTGTTGATTTATATTAGAGCCTATTACTATCCTATCCTTGTGCGTTTCCCTATGGTCGAACTACTTTTTACATTTTTTACCAGTTATCAATTTCACGACGCTCTCCGTAGGCCCGTAGACTTTCTGCCTTATCAGTATCATTCGTGATATTGTTAGTACCGTACTACAGCTTTCACCTTCTTCTTGCTGCTGCATAGCATACAACCAATACTAAAACAATTATTATCATGTGTGTGTATGTGTAATATGATAGGTGTAATATTTCTGTTATCGTTTTATAATTAATTCTGGATTATGATCAATATATGAAAAATGAAATAATATTGAAAGGAAACGATCTAAGATTTTTTCTTATAATAAAATCCATTTTATTATTTAATATATTTAAATATTTTAAGATAACGTGATGAAATTTTGAAAAATAATAATTTAAATATACTATTGGCGATTCCACACGTTAATTTTGAGAGCTATGAATTTTAAGGTAGTAATAAATATTACGTTATCCATTTTAGGAACATGAAGTTTTTATTATAATTTTGAGGTACTCGGTAGTGTTTTGTAAATGATAACCGTTGTAACAATTATAGAGAATATTTCATAATATATAAAAATATAACTTTAGAAAAATTTATGCAAAACAGAATTTAGAAATAATTTTTTACTTATGGTCTAATAATTCTATGGCTCTTTAATATCATTATATAGTTACAAATGTTTCAATAAATTCCAAATATATTACGTAAATACATTTCCGTTTTGTGCTAGCGTAACTGAAGTATCTAAGTTTTCCCTTTCTCATGCTTTCTAATGTATACTTATTTTATTATTTTTGGTTGTTTCAAATATCATAAATTTTCACTGACAGATCATAAGTCATATTCAACTAGTATAAATGTATAATAATTGTAATAAATATTTAGTTATTTATTTTAGGTTACTGCTTTTACAAAAAGGAGAGCTACCGGTAAAGTTTCAGCTTACTTATAGAAAACTGTAAGATAGAATTAAAATTTACTTATAATATAACTTGGTGTCTAAATGGAGAGAAATTTTACTGAAAATATTACAATGACTATTTCATAAAATCGGAATATCTACAGAGAAATTTTAATGAATTTTCCAGTGATACATAATAATTTTTAAGCAATCTAAATTTATCAAAAAAAATTTTAGGAATCCGTTATAATTTGTATGTTGTTTTTGTTATTATTTTATGCAATTTCACAATTTTCACGCTAATAAATCATTGCTGATTTTCGCCCAATAAATGATATTGCACTTATACTGCGAAGAACGACCACTGCAAATCGTATTATTGATTACTACAGGTGTGTTCTGACATCCTAATATCGAAAATTAATTTTTATAAATGTATGTTTCCTAATTAATCCCAGCGTTTTTTAAATCAAATTTCCATATAAAACTATATTTAGCTCATGATGATAAGATTGTTTACGAAACTAAAAATGTAACAGTAAATAACAGTAAATATTAAGCAGACGGCTGATAAATTTTTATGTTGTTATATCATAAAAATTGTTCTAGTAGATAGTTATAGTGTTTGGATAATTGTCTTATTCTTGAAGGATGACGAGTCACCATAGTTTTTACTATTACGATTTTTTTATTTTTATGCAAATATTTCCTCCGTGTAAAATTAAGTAATTAAATTCAAAACTATATAAAATTTCGTTTTAATTGAAATTGTAATTCTTTTTGTCAAAATTGATTGAATTTTGATAATACTTCTGATATAGAAGTTTTAAATATTTACAATATAAATTTTTTTGGATCTTCACATTAGCGGTCGGGTGATAAACAGAACCAATACAAATACGTCGCTATATATTGTCCACATAGAGAGATCATTTTCAATCTCATCTAATATCAAGTAACAATATGCCAATCAAATAGAAGAATAATTTTCGTAGATAATGGTGATATTGTACTCTATTTTAAATAAGATTTTATAACTATTTATCTCAACTGATCCCGTGCCTCTTAATTAATAAATTAAATAGGTACTCTTTGCGCATGACCGGTTTTAGGAGAAAAATGAAAATTTAAATTTGTTAAGCTAAGCCTTAAAATCTACATTAAAAATAAACATGTATTCTGTCTCTTTAACTTTTAAATAACACTTTTAGTGCGTTTAGCATATTAACTCTTTTTTTGGTGGAGGCCAAAGGGAAAGAGAGGTATTTATAGCATCAAGTAAGCTTTTACATTAACATGATAAGAATCCATCAGAATTTAATAATCTACCCATATTAATAAATCATGCAATTTAAAAACATTACAAATATTGATACTCAATGGTAAATGAAATTTGAGTTGGCATTTATTATTTAACACAAATTAATGAACTTTAAATTAATCCAAGATATCGGAATATTATCCAAAAGTTTCAATAGACTTATAATTTATTAAACGTACTAACCCATATTTAATATTAGTAGGTTGCTATGGGTCAGTGTTTATTAGTAATACATTTGAAATCTATCTGTTTTATAGTTGACAATACTTGTGAAAATGTTTCAAAATTACTTTTTAAGCTTCGCGTATGTGCATCATACTCAGAAACGCAAGATAAATTATCTTATATTTCATCACATTCTTATTAATAACGAAAATATGATAAATGATTTCGATGTACATTTTTTATAAAATAATATGATACTGTTTGTATTTTCGTTGTAATTTTTGTTAAGTAAAATATTATGGTGCTATCAGTTTTATTGTAGCTATCTTAAGTAATGTGATAGAGGAAAAAAATCACTTGTAATAGATCTAGCAAAGTTATATTGGAGATAAACTTCATAGTTTTATTCAGAAAGTAGCTACCTTCTAACTTTTACTATCTACATAAAGTATTAATTCGACTAGCTTATGATGGTTACCTTTTAACGGATATTTAACACTATATATGAATATACTAAAAGATTATAATTTTTTTCGACATCTCATTCTACTCTCTTTCTTTTGCTTCCATCCAAAATCACACAATAGTAATATTCATTTCAGTTTAATAGACAAGAATTTTATTATTAATTTTTAGTAATAAAATTATCAGCATAATTCTAAAACATAATCTCTTATATTTTTAAACCACTTACTTGCTACATATTTTTATTCTTAATTAATCTTGAAGATTGTTATACATCAGTTTTCTATAAGTTGAATTAATTATTAAATGTAAGTCACCCTCTTCAACATGTAAGACATTACCGTTTCAAAGTGTATTAAAATTTTAATTTTTACGTATTAACCAATCACAATGCTGGATATCATTGATTCATCATTCTTTCAAGATAGGATAAGAATTTACTAGTAATAAATACCCCCATTCCGTGGTCAACGTGTAATCAGTTACTGTGAAAAAATTGCCGATAGAATGAAACGTTTTTATTAAATAATTAACGAAAATAGAATGTTACTGATCCTCATTTAGCTATTCGTGGCTCTCATAGCTTTCACGACTTAATCAGCTAGTAATTTAAGGTTACGTAATTTAACGGTATATACGAAAAATGAGTTACTGTCGTAGTTTGGTAAAAAAAATGAACCCTTTCCCAGGGTATTGACAGAATCGATATAGACATTATTGTTCGTTGTATATAGTATCCATCAAGCAAATTGTGGGTTTACCGCGGCGATTTAAATTTACTAATGCGAGTGTTTATTGTACGGAAGCCATAACACTTATTACATATAATATTTAAAAATTAAATGAGACTGAAGACTGGTTTATTTTGAATATTTCAACTAAGATCTAGCTTTTAAATAAAAATTTGCATTTATTTCCTCAAAATCGGCGATGTATAAAAAATTGCTGGAACTTTTTATTAACTAAGAAACGTGGGATCATAAGCATAAGCTAATTACTTTATAAAACAGTCAGAAAAAATTGGAAATTCTTCTGAGTATTTTTTTATAAAATAATTTGTATAAAGTAATAGAAAGGATTTGATAGCAGTTAGGACTCTTGGTAAGAAGAAGTATATTTTGTCAACTACTTGTTGTTCTTGTTGTTCTGACTGACAGCACTGATTACTCTATCAATTCCTTCCAAAGAGGTTAACGAATTTGTTGACGTTTTTAAGATAATTTCCCTATCTATGTTTACAATGTATAGCGACATATGCATGAACATTCTCTGTACATGAATTCTTGACCTATTAAGCTTAATATCGATCGACATTAATTTTCATTAATAGAGTACCACTAATTCGACGATTAGAATTTTCCACTTATCTTATAAGTTGTTTGATTTAATCAGGAAATGGAAACAGCAACCTAACCTCTCGTATTTTGTTTATTCGATGAAAATTAATATTGATTTTAAACATCGCGAGTTGCAAATTAATCTCCCGCGAGAACACTTCTGTATTTCGTGACCGCCAATTTCAATTCTATAAGTGATTTTAAACATTTTATTTACAAGATGTTACAGTTAACAATTTTTCAATTTGAAACATATTTTATTGGAAATAAGGTATAACTGGAATAATAATTCTCTTTCTTTATTTGAATGGAAAAAATATTAGTTTCTTCAACAAAAAATTGATGGAAAGGCTTTCTTTTTTACTCAATCACATTGAACTATTAAACGTATTATTCTAGAAGATATGAAAAAAATTGTCTACCCTCTACGATCTTTTTAGTCTTAATTGAAATATTACCAGTATTATCCTTATGTTTTTAATTAAATCAACGAAATGAACTGGTTTATTATACTTTATAATGATTAATTAAAAAACAACGAAAAATTAAGTAAACTTATATTTCTTGAATTTACTTTGTGTTACATACTAGAAAATTTTCACACTTTGTACTCTCACTATAAATTACTAATATCGATCACTCCGAGCTACAGAATGTCAGTTTAATAAAAAAAATTAAAAATCTATTGATATATTGATATATAAAAAAGTAATTAGATATTTTTTCCGATTTGAATTTAAAAATTCTAAAGATATTTTTTTTGTTTTATAATCACACTTCATTTTTATACGCTTTATTCAAAGTAAATATTTTCTGAAATATAACATATGTTTTATACAGGAATAAGAATTTATCATCAAAATTTGATTCGCATGCGTTTTCTCAACAGTCATTCATACTCTGTATATTTATCTTATTATTATTTAGCTGCGATCTCAAAGTAATAATATAAAAATTATTTTTAATTTCATCGTAAAATAAATACTTTTTATGTTCATTTAATGCATCACTCATAATAAATGATTCTGACTTACATGAAATAGAAAACTCTTGTTTTTCAATGTCTCACTGTATTTTACTCAATCGCAATAACCTATATAGATACATATACTATTAACCGTACACTTTTGCCTTTTATCAGGTAAATTACTCGTACTTCTCTTTATAGCTTTATGTTTGTAATATAATACGTTTTATGCCAGAAATACATTTTGTGTACATTATTATTTGTGAATATTGAAAGAAAAGAATTTGGAATATTGTAAAAAAATTGAATCATAATAAATAGACATAATAAATGAATTATATGTTTGAGCCAAGAGCTGTGCTAGTAGATACGGAGTAATTCTTAAGGTGAAGATGGTGATGTAGATGCTCTGGGGAAAAGTGTCGCATTGACGCAGAGGATAATCCCGGTGTTCCCCAAGTAAAATGCCCATTTATGAAATTTGGTTCAGGACTGTGTCTCATAGGTTCAGTTACTGCATCTACGTCTATATCCACATCTACTTCCTCTTCATCTTGTTCTTGCTCATCTTCACTGCAACTAAATTTTCGTGTCTTTACAGAACGTAATGCAATTTGCGCATCAGGATTATCAGGTGCCAATAGCGATGCAACGTCAAACTGACGCTTTCTTGATAATGGCTGTAATGTAGAGTGTCGTATCGATTGAAAATTAAAGTTTTGCTGTAATTGATGCATAGTATGCTGTTGTTGATTATATTGTTCATGTAAATTCCAAATTCCCGAAATGGATTGATTAGCGATCGGAAGTCCATGAGTTGTAGAGGGGCTCGCAGACAATGGCGGAGGACTTGGGCTATCAGGTTCCTCTTCAACAGCTAGACCCATATGTCGACGAACTTTACGCTGTGCTTTGCGTCGGCGGAAATCACCTCGACGAAAATCATCCAAATTTGCAGGATGGATGGCCCAATAATGACCTTTGCCATTCGCGCTTCTTCCTGATTTTACAAAACAGTCATTAAGCGAAAGATTATGACGAATAGAATTACGCCAGCCAGGTCCTCGCCTTCTGAAGTATGGATAATGTTCAAGAATATGTTGGTATATATCTGAAAGTACTAATTTTTTTTCTGGTGACGATAAAATAGCCATAGCAATAAGACCGATATAACTATGCTGAGGCTTGGGTTCTTCGGGAACAGATTGATGTTGTGGATGAAGCAAAGCCATTGATAAGGCAAAACTTCTGGGATAATTTATTCCGGATGTATAAAAAGGCATGGATGTTGGATAATTTGCTGATATACCTATATGTGTTGCATTTGATTGAGCCACAGTCTGTTGCTGCGGTGTTTGAAGTTGTTGAGCTAAGCGTATACGCTCAGCCATTGCATAATGATAAAGTTGTAGTCGATACTGTTCTATGCCTGGTAAAAAACTAGTCATTGTGTGAACAGCAGGTAAGTTGAGTGTAAGAGACTCTTTTGATGGCGGGGGGCTTTCGTTGCTGCACATTTTATTGTTGAATGTAGTTATATACGAATATGTTTATATTAATTAATAGCAGTTTTAGACATATGTAACATACTAACAAATTCTTTAAGATATGCACAAATTCAACTGTCACATTTATTACACTTTATGAACACATATGCAACGTGAAAAGTTACTATAATCCTATTAATTGGCTTATGTACTATTTGATTTCAATTGAAGAGTCAAACAAAAACATAAAATCACTAAATCAGTAGAACTTCTATAGTAGCAAAGTAAAATATTTTTAAAATATATGAACAGGTCTGTGCTAGATGAAGAACTGGCTATGATTTATGAGTCGAGCTCAAGGCTGGTTTAAGGTGTCAACTACCAATGCCCGCCTTCTAGCTTTTGCTATTTACAGCACACCAATGAGGAGCGAATAGGGCAGTACCAAAATGTGGGCGTATCCGGTTATTTGCTCCGCTCACACAACACACACACAGTTACGCTACTAAGATATTGATCTCGGCTCAGCATTCAACCCCAAGTTAAAGTAACTATTTTTCGCGATAAGATTTGTTATAATATCATTAAATATATAATTGGTATTTCGCTTTCGTTTCATGCATTGCTGATAAATTATTTTTTATAACTTAAAAATACGTACTATATGAAATGGTCGCATAAAAATATAATAAAATATGATGTAAATCAACCAGTAATATTATTTTTCACGTACTTTGTAGTATACAAGTTTTTTTTAATATTTCTTAAATATTTTGAAATAAAAAATAATACACATTCATAAATACATTTAAAAATTTGAAAGAAGTTTGAGATAAAGTGTCAATATCATTCTTATTTTATGTAAAGTATTACTAAATTTTACATATTAAATATAGTATAATTATAAATTAATTATCTCAACTCGTAAGAAAACAAATAAATCACATAAAAAAATTTATCGTCATAAAAAATTACAATATACGTAGATGGGCATGTTTAATTTCCTTATGTACTAGCGCTATCAAGCACGCCTCACACTCGTTTGTGTTGATATTGAATTTCATGCTTGAATTAATTTAAGACTATTGTAAAATATACCGCATACATAAAATAGTATCATATGCTTAAGATCCATCAATAATAATTCGTAAATAAAAATTCAATTACGTTGATATACACAGAATTTGTCATAATTTTAAAACAAAATAGCGATAACGTAGCAGATCTTTATGTTAGCTAATTAGCTATAGATAACATTAATGTATCAAATTCATTTCTCCTTCGTCTCTTTCTAAATACTTAGTACTGTCAATTATACATGACAATTTAATTTTCTTTATTTTTTCATATATTTGTCTACGATTTAAAAATTTTTGTAGGATAACTTCATATAGACAGATGTTTCCACTTTCAGATTTCGGCTGGTTTGGAGCAGTACTTTTCTGTTATCTTTTACTCATTTATCCGTTAGAATTTTAAGATTATATTTATATTTAGAAGTGTATTAAAAATCTTTTTTGTAAATAAATTACTGAACCACATGAACCGTAGTTAGTTCATAGTATTTTATTTACAAATAATCTATTAATTTATGTTTCTCTTTATCTTTAATGACGTTTATTCGAAGCTAAACTTTATAACAAAGATATTTAATAAATTTATCCTTAGAATAAATGTAATTTAAAAATATTAAAATTAATTTATCATAATATTTTAAGGTTAGATTTTTTTTTATTTATTTATTTACTGTTGCACCCCCCTTGGTGGGTATATTTACAGTAATATGAGTATAGTAACTATAGATCAAGATTAAGGTTAGATTAGTGTGAATGTAAACGCTTACTTATTTACGTAATTAATGTATATAAAATTAATGTATAATTTGATATATTTATTAGTGTAAACTCGCTGAATATGTCAGCTGATATGCCATTAAATTATTATATACACTAGCAATCTAAAATACGTACATATACGTAAACATACTGCCACATGATGGCAATCCACGTATCTACTCATATGCAACTGTAAGAGATGGAAAGTTATTTCCTTGTTTAAAAAACTAATACCTATAATGTTTCTCTGATTTCATTTTTCAGCCTCCTAAAAAACTATATTCATTAACATTGGTTGATATAGAAAATAGAAACTAACTAAAATTAATAAAAATTCACAAAATTACAATTTTTAATATCGTCAAATATACTATAATAAAAAACTAGATCAGTTTACTTAAAATTCAGTTTGGATTAAATCTATAGTAAAGATCACATTGTCAAATTACCTTGCTTAATCATTCCCATTGCAAATTTATAAATGCAATGTTTGAGTAACACCCAATGTAGGCTAAGCCGCACTATCACTGTTACTGATCAAAATTACACAATCACACAATTACACCTTATTTTCATCGATGCATAAAATGGATGGAGAAGAACAGTCTCTCAATCTTCCTCAAGTGATATATTTTGATACTTCGACTAAAAAAAGTGAAGAAAAAGTAAAAAACATGGAGCTCTATTGCCAGACAATATACGCGCAGTATGTTGTAGTGCTTCCAATTATGGGAAGACTTTTAGCTCTTTTAACATATTCCAACAAATTGAAGTTTGAAAATATTAATTGATATTCGCAGTCACTTAATAAACCAAAATACAAATTTCTAAAACGCTTTTCTTGTACATATTAAAGGTGTTTGATACTTACCTCTTAGTGAGCATCATTTTATTGTATCACCAGACAAAGCGCGACCGAACTCTATAATGATTTGTGATGACATTGCCTCTGAGAAGTAAGATAACGTGAAACCTTTTTACTGTATGGAAAGAAATAAAAATGTTGATTGTTTTTACTTATGTTAATCATATTAAAGTATCCAAAGTATCTTGAGTATCCAAATATTTAGTTAAAGACAATGTAAATTTTTTAATTATCTTCCACCAAGATGATATGAATTTAAAACATATCTATAATGATCATGTCAATACGGATATGTCCTATCAATGTTTTAACAATATTTATTCATCATATTGGAAAGAAAATTATTTGTTTCGTGTAATAGATAAAGATCGAAAAATAGATGCTGGTAGATTCAAACAAGAGCTTAATAAGTTCATTACAAATGTAAGCCATTCAAGGTTGACAGTACACAACTAGATTGCAGATAGATAACGTAGCTGAGATAGATCAACAGATTGGTATTCTTAGTTAAATGGAAAAAACTCCCGAAACAATCAAACGTAAATATAATTTATTAAAATCCAACAAACTAGAAACTAAAATATATGTTAAGAAAACTTTCAAGCCTAGCCAATAATTGAACCACTTGAAAATCTGATTTATAAAATAAAACTTACTTCGCAGAAAAAGACGACACATAAAATATTATGCAACCTAAGGAAGATAAAAAAAGAAGCAATGGTATTGGAGAAATATCAATAAAAGATAACAATTCTTGAAAAGATTTATTCGATGATGATGGATTGGAAGAAGCATCGAATGCTTATTGCTTTCACCACATACTCTCTAAATGGTAGAGGATTTTCTTAATCATCATCTTACAAAATTATATAGCTCAAATAGTATTGATTATAGAGGGTGGTCCGATAAGTACTTAGCCTCACCGCCCGATGGCGCCACTCTCGCAAAAGAAATATTCTATCACGTAGTACAACCTTCTCGATGGTTACTGTCAAGATTTCAGCCGGATCGGAGTCGTAGTTTATTTTTGAGAGCGTGTGAAAGCAAAAGTGTCCGTTGATTTTTGAAAAATGGAAAAAGAGCAGTATCGGTCGGTGATTCGATTCTTGTTTTTGGAAGGGAAATCGCGCATCGAAATCAAAAAGTGCTTGGATGCTGTGTACGGTGACTCTTCTCCTTCGATGGCGACCGTCAAAAATTGGTTTAACGAGTTTCAACGTGGTCGTACGTCGATTTTTGAAGAGCCACGTCGAGGTTCTCCGAAAACGGCTACCACGGAGGATAACGTGACAAAAATTGACGATCTCGTATTGACAGATCGACGATTGAAGGTGCGCGAGATAGCTAAGATCGTAGGCATCTCAAAATACCGCATGGGTCATGTCCTGCATGAAATTTTGGGCATGAGAAAGCTGTCGGCGCGATGGATGCCGCGTTTGTTCACACCGGACAACAAGCGCAACTGTGAGACAACTTCAGAACAATGTCTGACGTTGTTTAAGCGCAATCCGAAGGAGTTTCTGCGTCGTTTCGTGACAGTCGATGAAACATGGATCCACTGGTATACACCAGAGACCAAGGAACAGTCGAAACAGTGGGCTTTACCTGGCGAAAGTGCTCCGAAGGAAGTGAAGACTGCCCCATCGGCCGGAAAGGTGATGGCCACCGTTTTCTGGGATCCACAAGGTGTGATCTACATCGACTACCTGGAGAGGGGCAAAACGGTTACAGAGCTGTACTATGCCGAATTATTGGGCCGATTCGACGTCGAATTGCAGAAAAAACGGCCCCATTTGGCGAAAAAAAAAGTGCTCTTCCACCATGACAGCGCATCGGCTCACACCTCTGCCGTCACCATGGCCAAATTGGTCGAATTAGACTACGAACTGCTGTCCCATCGACCGTATTCTCCAGATTTAGCCCCGTGCGACTTCTTTTTGTTTCCAAACTTGAAAAAGTCACTCGACGGGCAGAAATTTGAGTCGAATGAGGAAGTAATCGCTGCCATGGAAGCCTACTTTTCAGACCTTGAGGAAACGTATTTTTCAGACGGGTTAAAGAAGTTGGAGTATCGCTGGGCCAAGTGTATCGAACTAAAAGGAGACTATGTTGAAAAATAAAACGCCACTTTTCCAAAATTTTCGTTTTTCTTTTGTAGGCTAAGTACTTATCGGACCACCCTCGTATATATTAAGATGATATAAGGAGGGAGGAGGTCAATAAGTCTTTACAAAAAGAAGGAAAAAAAGTTTTGCGTATGTAATTTTTTATTTATTTTTCAACATAATCTCCTTGAAGGTTGATACATTTTATTAAACGGCCTTTCAGTTTTTATATCAGAAAAATATGATTTCTGAAAACCCTCAAAATAGGCATTTGTTTCGACGATGACTTCTTCATTCGATGTGAATCGTTGTCCAGCAAGCCATTTTTTGAGGTTAGGAAATAAGAAAAAATCACTGGGAGCCAAATCAGGCGAATATGGTGGATGATCAATTAATTCGAACTTTAAAGCGTTAATTTTTGCCATCGAAACTGCACACGTGTGAACTCAAGCATTGTCTTGAAGAAAGAGACTTTTTTTTTTGT